AATGCATAACAAGGCCCAAGAGTAATGGCAACTCTAACCCTTCCAGGGCAATGTTGTCTTATGACAGATTAAGGCTCAATGTAACCAAAACTGAAGAACCCAGGAAAGCTGTGTAGTCTGCTCCAAAAAAAAAAGGCTGGCACGGCTGCACAGTTCAGGTACCACCAGCAAAAGCCACTCCTTTGAATTTCTGTACAGAACCACAGACATAACTCATGTGCAACATATCTGGCTATTCCTTAAGAAGCCTGAGGTAAAAATGCATATTCTTTCTGCAGATGGACAATAAAAATACTAATTATTATAATGCTAACAACAGTATTTTGCTAGGCTGTAATAGAAATTTACTTGATATGTCCACTTTAATTTTCAAATAATCTGTCGGTTTGGAGTCATTCTATAACCTCAGTGGATTATGTGACATTCCGAATCCAAGTATACTGGGTTTTGATGTATGTGACAGGATAAATTTGCTCTGTTCTGCTATGTCCCAGTGGCTGTATTTTCCATGCCAAAAGCAGTGTGCTGACCTGGTAGTCCAACATGAGGAGTAATGTGCACCGCACACTGACATCACCGGGTCTTTTCACCTGGAAGCCATCCGTTTCCTGGGTTGTAGGAGTTCTGTGCCACTGCCAAAGGAAAAAGCAAGTAAGATGGTCAGTCTTTTTTTCAGTGATATCCATGGAGGTGCACAGTATGCCATGTAAGAACAAGACAAGTACAAGCCTTCTAGAGATCTTGCAATTAACTAAAAAGCAAAAACAACAACCAAAAAAAAAAAAAAACAAGGAAAAAAAAAACCACAAAACACCCTCCTTCCCCCAATTCATGTCTTGCTCTGCCCTTACAATTCAGCTTAAGTGCACAATATGCTCTGCTCTTAACAAGCTTTACTTGTTAGGAAAAATGTGCAGAATATTTTCATCATTTCAAACATTCTGTCTAAAGATGTACACTACATCACTACCACATCTGTGGGTTTAGACTATATAGATTCTGCTAGTAAACATTCTTAAAAAGAATGGAATTTTTAAAACTATAAATGAGATACCCTTATGAGATAATGAATGCGAGAGAACTTAAACAAGGTAGACAACAAGCACATAGCTGTTTACCTGTGCTAGTATCAAGTTTATATGCAAAGGGTGCTCGACCTTCTTACCTCCACAAGATGGTTGTCAGGTCCATAAAGATCTTTGTCCAGCTCAATAACCAAACTCTTAAAAAAAGACGAAAACTTCCGTTTTTGTTTGCTGAGCTGTACAAGCAAAAGAAACAGAAATGTTTCAGGCTGTGTATATTAGCTGGTGTTCTGTGCTTCCCTCTTGGGCTTTCTCTTTCTCTTGAACATTAATTCCCATATAGACCACAAGTTTGATCAATCTAATTGAGTTTTCCCTCTGACAAATTAAGGGTAAGAGGCAAAAATCTCAACAGCGGTGTAACAATGCACATTTAAGGGAAGTTTTCCCTTACTCTCTTAATGTTATTGGAAAGGACTGGCTTGTAATGTGAACAAAGCACCTGTTGGAGCAGGTCCAGAAGAGACCACAAAACCGACCTGAGGGCTGGAACAGCTCTCCTGTGAGGACAGGCTGAGAGAGCTGTTCAGCCTGAAGAAGAGAAGGCTCCAGAGACACCTTATTGTAGCCTCTCAATACATAAAAGGGGCTTTTAAGAAAGATGGAGACAAGGCCTGTAGTGACAGGACAAGGGACAATGTTTTTAAACTGAAAAACAATAGGTTTAGATTGGACATAAGGAAGACATTTTTTACAATGATGGTGGTGAGGCCCTGGCACAGGTTGCCCAGAGAAGCTGTGGCTGCCCCACCCCTGGCAGTGTTCAAGGTCTAGTGGAAGGTGTCCCTGCCCACAGTAGAAGGTTTGACTAGATGATGTTTGAAAGTCCCTTCCGACTCAACCATTTTGTGATTCTATGGCCACCGTATACCTTTTATTTAACAGTTTGGGTTTTTTATGAGTGTTAATTTCTTGCTCTGATTTGTCAGATAACAGTAACTTTTACAGATTAATCATACACTAAGTATTTCCTTTTACATTTTGCCTTTCAATTTAATTATCAGTAATTCACTGTTTACTAGGCAGCTCATACTGTCTAAATAAAAACTGTGATGTTTATATACATATACATATGCATATACATATGCATATACATATACATACCTATGGTTTTTATATATATAATCATACTTTGTATATATATAATCTAACTTTTCATAGAATACAGTCCACAGGATTTCAATTATTTTCTTTTTATTTAATGCAGATAATATTTTAGAAATACAACCTCCTTCAATTTAAAATTGCCAGTAATTGAGAAGTTATTGTCCCAATAAAGACTGTTCATTAAAATATATGTTCTAATTTCTAAACTGAGTCTGTTTAACTTCAGTTTCCAGATGTTGCACTTTGTCATACCTTCATCCTCCAGCAAGATTATGATTTTGATTCATGTATCATTATCTCCAGACAGACAGATGAGCCTTGAAAGCCTTGTCCTCTCCATACATACATGTTCTCCATCTGTTTATCCTATCAAATACTTAGCTTGTCCAGTCTATTCAAATAAGTGACACCTTTATTAGGAAAGTCCAGCCTTCCCCAGGCAAGCTAAATCCATTACTGAGGTTTCTGAGGACTTCAGAATGATAAAACTTTTCTTCCATCCTTGCTCTGACCATCCATACATCCTCTTGTCCTTCCTAGGAATATGAACTACTCACTTCTCCTTGTCTTCATACTCTTCACAAGATGCAATGACTGCTGCAGGCACACCTCTCATGATCTGAATCCTGCCAGATCTTTTAAGTGAATTGTCTCAGCCCTATTCTCTCCACCTCCTCATACCTGTCCTGTCCTTAAGTCTGCTGCCCTCCCTGCCCCTTCCCAACATTTACATCATGGTCTTATCCCTCACTCCAACTGGACACGGCACCTTCCCAGCAGCAATAAGCCAATGCTGCCATTCAGAGATGTCTTATCTCAGTTGATGTCCCCAGTAAAGTCCACCACCCCACAGGACAACCTCTAGATCCTTGCCAGCCCCAGTGAAGCACAGGTAAGTCATACGTCATCCAGGAGCTTCCCCTCCACTCGCAGCTCCCATGAAGCAATGCTGCCATCAGAGTCATCAGCATCAGATTTTGCAGGATTAAATGTGTTGGAGATGTAAAGTCTCAGTTTCCGCTTTTGCTGTTAGAGAAAAGAAAAGTACACATCCACTCTAAGTCCAAGATCTGAGGAAGCCACAGGAAAGGGGATAGTTATACATTTAGTAGAGAATCTGCAAGTTTGGTACAATTGCACCAGGTTATACTAGAACTTAAGATTTGGTTATGTATAGGAAAATACACTGAAGAGCTGAATCTGAAACTTCCTTTCAAAAACTATTGGCTATACTAACATCCTAAGATCCGCTGTAAGTGGAGAAAGAGTCTGAGGCTACACATCCTGTACTTCTGGATTAGGTATTTGAGAAATCATTGGAAGAAAAGCATGATACAATGCCCTTCCTGTCTAGATCCTAGCTAGACTGCTAAAACTCAGCTTCAAACCTCTTGCCACATGAATGTCTTCCACAGTTGCGTCAGTTCAGATTTGTAAATGGCAGTTACAAATACAGCTAATGCTGCAAATTACATGCTGGACACATATTTGCCCATCTTCATTCTAACATCATGCCAAGCCTGGTAATAATCTTCCTATACCTCACACACGGGCTGCCTAACCTTAGGGTTGGAAAGGACCCTAAGATCATCTAATTCCAACCCCCTGCCATGGGCAGGGACACCTCACACTAGAACATGTTACCGAAGGGCCTGTCCAACCTTCCTCTTTAACTGCCTTTCACCCTCATCAAACATGTTGCAGCTCCAACTTGCTGTGAAACCTGAGTGGAAGAAGGCATCATGCTTCACCCCTAACCCTGGTGCTCAAGTCTGTGAGAGATACAATCATGCCTACCTGCTGTAATTTTTACAGAGTATCTAAGGTTTCCCAGTCACTGTACTGACTTAGGGCTATATTATTTCTCATTGCCCTTCTTTTTTGTGCACCATATGGAAAACCTGGTGATTAACTCTGATGTGTGGATTCAAGAAAAGATATTGCCAAAAATTTCTCTGGGACTCAAATATTTGTTTATAATACAATGACAAAAAGGCTACAGCTGTCAAGTTAAACAGTCAAAACAGCCTTCATAGAACTTAAGAAAGGAGTAGTCTTGTAAAGCTTTCACACTCCCACATACACACATATAGGAGAGACGGAAGTCATATACACCAGGTCAGAAAACTAAAAATCTAATATAGCACAGAGGAACGTGGGAGGCAGAGATGTATGGCTGAACGGGAAAAAAGACAATTACTACATTTTGCCAAATCTGGAGAAGACAGTGACAGAAAGGTTTGATGGAAATGGAGTGTCAATAGCACGCACTGACAGGAAACAGGTTTTTCAGAAGTGCCAAGAGTCCAGAAAATGACAGGTTGACACAGATAAGAACAGGCAGACAGGTAGAAAAACATTCATGAAAATCCGTATTCTTTCTCCATCCTTTCCTATAGGATTTACTTGCTAAAGTGCTCCTTCATTGTATAGATTTGGGGGGTTTTATTTTAATGACCCAGAATCTTTATTTGGTGTGGAGGACTTGTGATGGACTTCACATTTCTAAATTCATAACTCTTCAAATTAACTTGTACATTTTATGTTCCTGAATTTTATTCCCGCCTCATTTGCAAAACTGTATTTATATCCATAAGCAGCTTTTCTCTTACTAGTTCATCTTAGATACTCTACTGATATTTCAGATTTATATCAGTGATTCCATTTCCTCTTCTTTTGATTTCCAAAGACATTATCACCATTCTCCCTTTTACCATCAAAACTCCTTCTCTCCTTATATCTTCTCATATCCAGACAAGAACTATGTCTGTTCCTCTGAAATATGACATTTCATCACTAAGATCATCCTCTGCAATAACAACCTTATTCAAATCTGAGCATTTTAGATGTCTTTCTTTCTCCTAGCTTTCAGGCCCTAGCTGCCTTGTACAGTTCACCTGAAACCAAGTCAGTAACAATGTCTAACTCCACTCTGAAATACAAAATACCTCTCCTTGATGCTTTACACTGTTTGCCTTCACTAGCACCTTATCATTTTTCTTTCAAGTCATGCACAAGGCAGAGGCAGCTTGCATTTCAGAACTGGTCTCCTGCTGGGTTCCCTATACTTTCCCTGCTCTGCCAAAGTCAGAGTGTGCATATCTTTTCATTTCTCTCTTCAATGTACAGTATTTTCTTCTAAACAATGAACCCTCTTTCTCAAATTTAATAATTTCTTCACTGTAACCCCTATTACTCAGCTCACTTCTCTACATTGTCATCAGAAAGAAACTTAGAATAATTATGAATAAAAATGTAATGGCTATCTCTAAAGTTACCTTTTCTCCTACTTCCTATGTACCTTGATTTTAGATCAAAACCCATTTAACCTTTGACTCCAGCATGTTACAGACACTACTGACAACCTGCAAGTACTGTGGAATGCTGAGCCTTTAGTATCTGCTAAGCAAAGACATTCTATCCAACAAGGAAAATGTGCAACCTGTATCCTGGGGGTTGTCTTCGGATTTTGGCCCAAAAGGTACTGCAAATTTGCAACACTATTAAGGCAGTGATTATGTCCTAAATGCAACAACAGAAAGATCGTTGCTTCTGACTTATCAGGAAATCAAACAGGGCAATTGCACAGCTGCAAGAGGACTCCAACACCAAATGAGCTTTAAATCTATTATAAATCTTTATTAGAATACCAAGCAGAGTAAGGTCACAAAAAGAAGGAAAGCTCACTTTTGCCAGGTAAAACGAAATTTAAAAAAAAAAAAAAAAAAACAAAACTTTTGTAAACCATATTTTCTCTGCTCACATGTCCTTAAAAATGGTTCATTTCTTCAGGCTTGCTCTTATTCCAGCAACTCTGTGATTTCTGGGGTTGCAGGAAACTCTGTAGGGTCACTTCTGGGGAGACACAGAAAATCCTCTCTTTTTATTCCTTACAATCCAACCGTGATTGTGCTATTGCCTTCTCTCAGAAGACTCCAAGTATGTGCTTTTTCTTCTGGCGTTTTACTTCAAGGAGGTAGTGCCTCATCCTGTTTGCCTCACTAACTGCACTACCCTGCTCTCCAGCTGGCACCATCTCCCTTCCCTCTGAGGGATTTACCAGGCCAATTACACCTCAGGACATGACACACACTAGCTCTCCTTTCTACATCTGAGCTACCATCCTTTAAAAGGAACCTACATAGCAATGCAACTGCAAACAGGTGTCAGCCATCACAACTGTCATAACCAGTAACTCTAGACCTGACCTGCAGAGTGGAGCCAGATCTGCCAACGACTTTCTGGTAAGCAGTCTAAAAAATTGTGAAAAAGGCATTTGGCCCTGAACACTGCTTGAACAGCCAAACATGCCCTCCTCTGTAGCACACCATACTGACCCAGAAACAGCCAAGCTTCCACAACTACCTTTCTGAAGCTGCTGTCACCGTGTCCACCTCCTGTTTGTAAGGGCACTGCTCCATTTTTCCTTCTTTCTGCCTTTCCCAGAATTCCCACTACCACTTCTTCCTTACACATGTCTAAGTGTTGCCAGCACCACTGCCTCCTCATAAAAGCTACCAGGGATCAGCTCGGCTCCAGACAATCTGGGATGATGACTATCTTCTTCCAGTTCCAGGAACTAGACAATGGCACTTGAACTTGCCCTACATACACCTATCACCAACAGTGGGAATACGCATTTTGAGCAGTGGCATTTAAAGAAAATACATCTCCAGCAAAACATCAGAACCATAGCTCTACAAATGAATATTTTCTTTGGACCAGTAGGCTTCTTCTCCTCTATCCTGACTCTTCTCCTGTAAGCTGAGACACTACAATTTCACCTGATGAAGCAAGATTCTGGCAGACATTGAAGAATATAGTCTGAATTCCTCCTGAAGAGATCTACCCAGTGAGTAACAACTTCAGCACTCTCAGCTATACTGCTATCATTAGGATGACCGGCCTTGGAAGATGTCAGCTCAGAGATGGCACAGACAGTCAAGACCCAAGTTTGCTCAAGAAGAACACCTAAATGGCACTGTCTGGGGTTTTATAGCCACTATACAGACCACCAAGTCCCTTGGCTGAAGATACACACCCAAAATCACTGCACTCAGTTCACTTATCAGTACTCCTGGCTTCCACAACGATGTTAAGTTCATAAACAGAAGGCTCTGAGAGTGAGGTATTCTTCCATCTCCATCTCATCCAGGCAGGAAATGATACAACATCAGTTATCTGCAACTTGGTTACTTTGCAGCCTAAATGGAGCAGTGCAATGCAGTTGAGGAAGAAGCCACTGCCCTTCAACAAATTCTGCAAATTTCTTAGCAATGCACATTATAGCACAGATCGAAAATAAATTCTCCTCTCCGTATGGCTGGTTCTCAGAGAACAGAAAAGCAACCAACCAAAACCTGTGGCCTTGATTTTTACCGGTAGGATTCTCAGTAGTTTGGAGCAAAAACTAAAGAGAAAACTTACAGCTCCAGGGCAAGAAGAAAGCATTGCATTTCATCTCTCCAGACACAGTGAAACTTTATCACCCACAAAGAAAAGATTAACAGGGGGGAACTTCATAGACACTTGATCAACATTGTGAACCAAATAACCTCTTGTCTGAAAATCAATAAATGCTTAATGTGCTTATTCCCTAAGTGTAAGACACACAACTTTACAACTTTAAGATGTATCTTTGACTTGTCTTCAGCAAAATTAACTTGAAATAGCAGTCATATTAAAAAGAGGAGCCTTCTCCCAAAAGCTCTGTATTTCACTTACAATTTCTCCTTGAAAAAAAGGGGGGGGGGAAAGAAGCAGCATATGTGACAGAAGACTGGGCATGTCAGCGATGAACTACTGCAAAGGTCTCAGCTACAATAGCAGCACAATTGGCAGGAGAGCTCATGTGGAATGAAACAGATCTAAAAAGGAGGCTGACAAGAATGCTGCAGCAGCAGTACAGCTTTTTCTCTCCAAGTTCTTAAATGTCATCTTCACACAAATCAGCACAGTTTAAGTTGAAGTAAAGAGGTGTAATGCTGGAAATCCATCAGATTCTTCAGAAAACTACCTCTGGTTTA